TGTGTGTGTGTGTGTGTGTGTGTGTGTGTGTGTGTGTGTGTGTGTGCTTTCACTCCTGTCAGTCCACTTAAGGGCCTTTGGTTTCAGAGGAGGCCATTGTATTTCCTCCATCGCCTAGCAACCATCACCAAGGCCGGCACTCCATTGTTGCGGAGGCTGAGCACCTGAATTGCCTGCTGCCTGTTTCTACTTTTCAAAATTGTACTGTAATTTCACAAAGTGGTGTTTCAGCATTAGAGAGGGAGAGAGAGAGAGAGACGGCCGTGCTCCAAATTGGAGGGCTATGAAAATTGGGGGAAGCTTCATTTGGTGGTTTCACATCAGGAAGCTGCGCGCATTTGCAAAAGCAACACAAACAGCGGAGAGGCGGAGACATTCTGAGCATATTGTGCATTCAGCAAAATGAAAACAAACACTGAGCGATTCATATAGTGTACAGCGTATTCGACCTATGTTGTGTGTGTGTGTGTGTGTGTGTGTGTGTGTTCGTGTGTGTGTGAGTGACATTGACAGGAACTGGAATAGAGATATATAGAGATGCCTGTCAGACTTTTTGTGAGTAGTCGTGTGTTTATGGCTTCATAGTTTGTTGAAATGCACTTTGTAGGAGAAAATGATGGAGATAAAAACCCACAAAGACAGGCGGACAAAGCGTGAAGAGAGAGAGAGGGAGAGAGAGAGGGAGGGGGAGAGAAAGGAGAGAGAAGTGGAGATGCAGAGAGGGAGAGAGAGAAAAAAGGAGAAAATGGGAAAAGAATATGAACAGAGCAACATGTAGTGGGCGGGACCTGAGTGTTGAAAAGGTTTGTGGGCTAGATTTTTCTCAGTGACGTCACTTTTACACAGTTTCCTTGAATAGCACCTGTGTGCATGGGGGCTGTCTGTCTGTCAGTTCTGAGTAAAAACATAACCCATGCCAGCAAAAACATATCTATCAGTGTTCTCCACTGGCCATTGGAGACAGACTTTTTTTTTTCTCCCTCAGAGGCCAACATCGACTCTGTCTTTAACCGCTGGGTGTTTGAGATTGGCCCCCTCAACCCCTCTATCTTCTCAACCCCGAAGTATTTTAGCATCTTTTCTCTGAGCCTAGATTCATTTGTTTTTTTTAAACATCCTTTTTGTGAATTCAAATGAGTTTCTTTTTTCTTTTTTTTTGATAAAGACTCCGCTTTCTCTTTGTGCAGTTAAAATTGCTTTTTTTTGTGCACCTGCAATCACCGCCCTTGTGGATGACCCCAGGTGCCTAATTCAGAAATGGTAAGTGCCGACGATTTTACCTTCAGATTGATTGTGTGTCTCTCATTATTATATTGTGTATATATTTTATTGGTTTGACCGAGACTTACCGAGAGTTTCTGCACCGCCAATTTGTCGTGTTTACTGCAAAAATGTTGCTCTGCTGATCCAAAGACATATTTTCCTATAATTCATGACTGTCTTGTGTCACCCGCTTTCTCTTATTGATTTTCAGTTGTGCAACCGGTCCATTCCGTCGCCGTGTCCCTGCGTTTAACATCAAACTGCGGCTAAGATCCTGACAAATCTGGTTGTTCTTAGTAATTCTCTTGAAAAGCACTTCAAATACACATTCTGATTTAAAAACACACACAAACCGGCGGTTATCTAGCAACATGCACACCTTAGACTGGCACACACACCCCATTGACTGTACTGCAGTAATGTGTGCACACACAAATACAAGCAAAAGCACAAACACACACTTGCAGATCAGGTTCCATTGTGCCTGTGCGGTACGTACACACACACACACACACACGCAGAGAGGGTTGTCTGTAGCGTCTGGTGAGATGGCAGCACTGTTGGCCGACATCCTATCAAGTTTCAGTTAATACTGTCATCACCTTCTGCATTCATGGTCAGCAGGAATCAGTTTCACACAATGAAATTCTTCAAAAATATGACCGTAAATGCAGAAATAATATGTCTCTTTTTCTTCAGGCTGCAACAGAAAAGATTGAAGAATAGCTCTATTTCAATCCTTTATTCTGTTACGAGAAAAAAACGTGTTTTTTATCAGATAGAGCTGAAGAATAAGACGATCGTGTATAAAGACAGTATACCAATTCCTATACGCGTAATATGTTGTGTGTGATTTTATGAAATATGTGATAATTTAACGTGACATGTTGGTACATCTCCTAAAATAGAAGTGCTTATTCTGATATAAATGAAGAATCTGATATAGTTTGTTCACTTTAATATGTATCCACTAGTTTAATGTGTCCATCACAGTAATATGTGTCTATCACTGTACTGTGTGTCAATCACTGTAATATGTGTCCATCACAGTAATATGTGTCTATCACTGTACTGTGTGTCAATCACTGTACTGTGTGTCAATCACTGTAATATGTGTCCATCACAGTAATATGTGTCCATCACTGTACTGTGTGTCAATCACTGTACTGTGTGTCAATCACTGTAATATGTGTCCATCACTGTAATATGTGTCCATCACAGTAATATGTGTCCATCACTGTACTGTGTGTCAATCACTGTAATATGTGTCTATCACTGTAATGTGTCCATCGCTGTACTATGTGTCCATCACAGTAATATGTGTCCATCGCTGTACTATGTGTCCATCGCTGTACTATGTGTCCATCACTGTAATATGTGTCCATCACTGTAATATGTGTCTATCACTGTAATATGTGTCCATCACTGTACTGTGTGTCAATCACTGTAATATGTGTCCATCACTGTACTGTGTGTCCATCACTGTACTGTGTGTCCATCACTGTAATATGTGTCTATCACTGTACTGTGTGTCCATCACTGTAATATGTGTCCATCACAGTAATATGTGTCCATCACTGTACTGTGTGTCAATCACTGTAATATGTGTCCATCACAGTAATATGTGTCCATCACTGTACTGTGTGTCAATCACTGTAATATGTGTCTATCACTGTACTGTGTGTCCATCACTGTACTGTGTGTCCATCACTGTACTGTGTGTCTATCACTGCAATATGTGTCTATCACTGTAATGTGTCCATCGCTGTACTATGTGTCAATCACTGTGATGTGTCCATCGCTGTAATATGCTTCCACCACTGTGATACAGTATGTGTCCAGCTGAAGTATTAACAAAATGGCAAAGTGCCAGTAAGAAACTGACTATACGTCTTCCCTCAAAGGCTGATTTCAGAGGTCTAAAACACTATTATTAATGTTAAATTATTGATCCCTATTGACTTCATGGACAATGTGGAATTGAATCTCTTCATTTAGAGACAAGCACTTGGCTGAACGAGTATAGCAGAGCTTTAGAATCCTGCAGTGGAAAGCATATCAACATGCTCACAGCATACTTTCTCTTCACCATTCAACTACTTTACCGCTGCAGCGTCGCTGACTGCCAGCTGAATCAAACTGACATTGAACTTATTAACACTGACGTCAGTACAAAGAAACACAGCACAGTGACTGAACGACAGCTTGCAAAGCGGGTGTCTTCTCTCTGTTTCAGCGTGCAGGGTTGTCACCGGCTGCACCGAGCCTTGGATCACATCGATTGTCCTGGCGGATGACCCTGACTCCAGCTTCAAGCCTCTCCATCCCTCTGCCTCGTCCTTCCTCCAGAACACACTGAACCCTCCACAGGTTCGCACAACCCTGTCGGTTCCATGTTTTTCAAGGTAGAGAAGCGGTATTTGTGGTGCACGGTTTTGCTGATGCAGCACATAGAAGTGTAAATATATATGTTTATGAATACAATGTAGAGGCGAGAGGGAACAAAATATTCCACCGTAGTAAATAGAGATGCAAGAGTATGACTTTATCACTCTTGTTTTCAAATATGAAAAATGGTAGATGAAGCATAATGAAGTAGTCACTCAGAGATAAGTGCAGTGATTGAAACAGAAAGACATCGATAAGTGTTTTTCTTTCCAGCATGAGTTTGAGCACTTTTACAGATGCTTTCTTGACAGGCTGCCAACCCATTCATTTAATCTCCACAAGCACAAGGAGAAGGCCGCTCAGGACTGCCAGTTCTTCTGTGACAAAAAGGCCCCGGCCTTCAACCGAGACCCGAGGTTTTGTCTGAAGCTCCGTCAGCCCTCCCTCCTCGCCACAGGATCGTACTTTAGCTCAAGGAGGCCACCTTGAGTACGGCATGTAGCTTGGCAACAGAACTGGGAAGGAGTGTGTGGTGACAGATTATCACTGGAGAGAATAAGTACTATATATTTTATTGAGAGAGCTAATATATATCCTTCTGTTTCCCCCAGTAATTATTGAATTAGTTAATTTGAAGTTGGCTTGAAATAAAATGCTTTACAGGTTTTTAATTTACAGAGAAAAATAATGGATTTTGGAAAAATGCTGCTCAGTTATTTGACAGGAAAGGAGGTACATTTCATGGCCTTCACTGTCTGGATGAGGGAGTCCATGGCAGCATGGAAGACTAGTGATTTTGTTGTTTTGTTGTTAAACTGACAACAAGTCATTGTCTCCCTCGCTGCTTTGAGACACATGCTTGAACTCAAGCCGAGTCTGTGAATTTTCTCTCAAAATTTGACACTGAGCACTTCCCTTCAGGTATTTGCATCGTGATGCATCAACCTGCTCCGGTTTCCTTCCAAGAATAATGAGCAGTAATTACACCCTGATGTCTTACTATTGTGCACAGCACACTGAACTGGGTTGAATCTCGATTTATCTCCGTCAAGAAGTCCCACAATTTTGTCTGAAAAAGCAGCATCAAATGTTTAAAGGCGACATTTCTTAAATGGTTATCTTTTAGAAATATTCAACCTTTTAAATTTACTCAACAATGGGAAACAATGGCCCAGATAGGACTGATGGATTTTTTTTTTCTTTATAGCATGTGAACACTAAAGAATTAGCTTATTCTTAACTGTGTGTCTAAAAATCATTGCAGATCTTTAACGTTGTGTTTGGTTTAAGAGTGATTTACTTATTTCCAACGAATCATTTCACATGAATGTAATTGGCTCACGTCTGCAGGGTTCGTGAGTCTTTTTCTGTCCCCTCTGTGCGGATGAGATGGCAGCAGACGGAAACACACGGGATTTGACAAGTAAGAAACACTTTTGTGAAGTAGTTTGTCAAAACAAATTTGCCTTACAATAACGATGATAATGTTGAACACAGTTCAAACTGTGCTTCAAATATAAATATGACTGTCATGTCATTATTCCTAATGGGAAAAAGCTCATACTGAGGTTTGTCAGCAATGTGTTAACGGAAAGTGGATAAAATGATATTTGAAGTATTTCTGAGATATTGATCTACTCGACTGGTAGATTAAACTTTAAAATGCATCCGTTGTTAATCTGCTCATCTATTTAATTGTGGATGTGATTTTATTTAAATGTCCACCCAAGCTTAAAGGTTGTTTTGATGAAAAAGTGGACTTTTACACGGTTTGTTCTGGTTATCATGATTGTATATCAGGTTAATTATTGGCCTAAAGTCAGAACATCCATTAATTTGGGTTGATCTCATCGATCTCATCTTACAGCTGGACTCCAACGTATTTGACAGCCTACTTCAGAATATTGAACCATGAATGATGGAAAACACCATTGACCCAAAGGTCAGAGGTAATGTTGATATCGACTTCCACTTCAATGAGTAACTCTCATCAGATTCTGCTACAGTATATTTCATTTCAACTTGAGTACTTGCCATTTGGCTTTTCATCAATGAATCTCTGTACTCGGAATGCAAATCAAGCATTTGCTCATATAAGTCCGAATAAAGAATACGTCAGCTCAAAAATGATGACTTTTGAACCCCTTTAATGACGACATACAAGCATCACATGTCAGATGGCTCAAAGACCGAGAGGAGTACGACAGATAAACACCAGGGAAGTGTTTTGGGCAGAACCAGCAATACGCTTTACTGGGGGGCCGGCAGGGTCTTGGTGCTGTCCATCACCTGCTGGAAGAACTTCTCCATAATGTCGGTCAGAGGCTTGACCTGGCCGTAGAAGTTGTCGGTCAGAGGCTTGACCTGAGTGTTGAAGTTTTCCATTATGGGCCTGATCTGCTCCTCAATGTTGCTGACTAAGGGCTTGACCTGATCCTGCAGCTTGGTGGCCTCGGCCATTACCTTGTCAACCAGAGGCTGGATCTGGGACCTGCCGTTCTCTGCGTAAGTTCTGTGGGAGGAAGAGGAAGCAATATTTTTTCCATCAATCACTGCTGCTGACTCTGCTTTGTATTTATTTGTTGTTTATTTGAATCTGAGTAAAGAAAAATGAACTGAAACTGCCTGAAAATGTGTTGGTGTGACTCTTCAGGAAAATCTTTTGAGAATCATGATGTGTAACTGTTCTGGTTTTAGGTCACGATAATGTGAGTTAATCTAAATAAACAAGCCATTTACTATCCAAAGAGGTAATGAGCCTTTAGCCTTTTACATGTATCATGAATATAACTTTTTCATTTTGGAAATTGACAGAAAAGTGACATATTTGTTGTTTTCAGAGCCAGTTTTTCTCAGGTGTTGAATTTCTCCATTACATGAGATTTTCTACATGTTAAAATTAAAAGAAATAAACTTCGACAGTCAGTATTGGTGTGTACATTAAATTAAAATAAATGAAGTTTGCAGAGGGAAGATTAGCCCTTCTGGAACTTCCATATGACGATTTGACCATATTGTTTTAAGAGCAACCAAGCTGCCATACAGTCAGGTTAACACTTAATCCTGACCAAGTTTATGCTCAAAGCATTTCACCGAATACCCTATCCAACCTGTTGCTCACACAGTGCGGAACAGTGATTTTAAATTCCTAGATCCCCACAATTACAAGCACAGCAAAGTCAAAGTTACTGCATCTTGACAAAAATATAGAACAACATAATTTTCTTCATGAGACGGCCAAGGAACACTGAATGCAGTGCAGTGAGTTGTTGGATTTAAAAGAAGTATAGTTCGTATACTTACTGGGCAGTGTTGGTCATCTCCAGAGCCTTGACCTTGTCCACCATGTCCTGGGTTGCGCTGGTGATGCTGGCTGACATGTCCTTGATGAGCTTGGTCATCTGGGACAAGTTAGTCTGTGCGTCACGCTTCACCAGTGACCCGGCCTCAGTGCCTGTGAACACACATTGACTCATCTTCATCCACTTAATTTGATTCAAATTTGCACAGTGCCCGGCCTGAAGACAGTTACGAATATGGAAAGTAATGCCTCCTATTCATCAGATTGAAGGGTGGACCTGCACAAAACCCTTTGAATTTGGTTGATTTTCAAATGTTGAAAAGGTGCATGGTCACCTTTGGGTTCAGAAAGGTCTAACCTTATATTACAAATGCGTGTGACATACAGTTAAAACTGTTTTTAGTTTCTTCAATGTCAAAGAGAAAAGGTTTTGATGTGCAGAAAATGAAGCAGATATTCGGATGTAATTCTATATATTTCATAGTCTATGCCTGATCTTACAAATGCATTACGCATATGAAATACTGCTTTTTTTAAATGAGGGAAAATATGTCTTACCATGGGCAACAGCCAGCAGAACGACAAGAGCGGCAATGATTGAGAATTTCATGGCTGCAGATGAGCAAGAGCAAACTGGAGAAAAGTTAAAAAGAGGTTATTCAGATGACACTGAAAGCTGCAGAGCTTACAATAAAATGGTGGCAAACTGTAGTAAAGCAGTTATAAGCACAACCTTTTTCAAGTAATAAATTGAAGTAGTCAAATGTGTTTTCCTCAAACATATGAATGAGATATTTCTGTCTGCAGCCTTACAGAGGATCAGAAACACCAAGGGAAAGCAACCCGCCAGAGACGTACCTTAAATCCTGGGGTTCTCGGACCTAACTGTGCCTTCTGTCAGAGAGGCTGAGGCTTTTATAGCTCCACAGGATGAGCTCATCACAGCTAATCATAATTTAATCAAAAAGTGCAGATAAGTACAATCTGGGAATTGGCTGAACCTTGCTGCTCGATAGCTGCCACAAGAAAGACAAAAGTCCACTCTGTGTGTGTGTGTGTGTGTGTGTGTGTGTGTGTGTGTGTGTGTGAGTGAAAAAGACAGAGTTCAAAGACAGATTCATTGTGAATTGCTGCATTGTGACGTTGTTTCATCCCCTTATTTCTCAGCAGTTTTATGCTACTTTATAGTTTACTGGTTACTTTGAAGGTCAAGGTTTTACACACCGAACAGATGATCAACTTGAAATATGATGTATTATTTTTGTTCTAAATTAAACTGCCCAGTAACACATGAAGTAGTAAAAATGAGCTTTTCTTCAACCAGCTACAGCGACAAATGCTGCATACACATTGATAACGATCCAGTGATTAAATATAGTGTTGGATCCTTCAGTACATTTTGCTGCTTATTGTAAAATTGTGAGAACAGGACTTTTTGAAGTATTTTTTTTCCGTTGAGATATTTCCACTTTTATTTAATTAAAATATCTGATACTTCTTCCACAACTGCACAGGTATCAACACTTTCAGTTACTGATATATAAAAGATATATCAAAATACATATTGCATTTTTCACTAATGCTTTCTCCCTTTTATGTGTGAGTAATTTCCTATTTAATAATATACATTGTTGTTGAGTTGTTTTTGTATGTGGCCTGTTTGTTGTCTTTGATGATGGCAGGGGTTCATTCATACATGGTTATCTACGATACAGAGGGTCAGTTGATGGGACAGAGTTACTCAGTTATGCTGACTGAGCCTTGGACACTTCATCCGATCAGCAGTTGCCCCATACTGTATGCAAAAATCTACAGCAGTGTGAGGAGGTCCTGATAACCTCATCACAGGAGATACAGCGGTTCCCATGTGCATCATCACACTTCTGACTGATGCTTCATATTTTTTCTAGTGTGTCTACAAATCATCAAATGGTTGAAGTGATTTGGTTTACTTGTGTATTTCATTTGCAATTCTTTTAGTATATAAAACATTGTGTGGTGTTCCTTAACCCATTTGTTTTTGTACCTCTTGATAGAACACTGGAGTCCTTTTTTGGGGGACATTGAGGTGCAGTAAAGTGGTTACAGAGTCTCATGTCTTTAGCAGACTTCACAGGAACATTGTGTTAACAAAAATGTTGATTGTGTTGTTTTCAGTGTTTTCATGTCTGCTTTGCAGTCACTTTTAGTGCTCCGCATGCCATCTTGGATTCTGTCTTTCAAAGCATAACATGATGGTGTGAAAATGACGGCGCAACAGCTTCAGATATAACCAGTGTGCTTTGTTTGACTTGATAGATGGGGATTCTAAAATGGATTCATACAATGGGCGTCCGTTCAGAATGAATATTCATTTAAAGAGACTTTAAAAAAAAAAGATCCTGCCACAACAATTAAATTGCACATTTGCACTGTTTGATGGCTGCATGTCCGATCATTGATGTCACTGTAGGCTATTTAACATCCAAGTTCAGGTCAGCTGTATCTGTCCTGAGCATGCATTAACTTCAGACCAGTAATAGAATTGTTTTGTGTTATTGTAATACATGTATGCATCTAAATACATTACTCGACATAGTGTATCGAACTGCAGACTTATAAAACAGAATATTTTTTACATGGCTATGTTTGGTGTTGGATTATCTTCATTTTATGTGTTAATCTACACAGAGTTCACTTCAGTTAGACATAAGTGAACCCACCACGTGACATATCTTACTGAGTCTATGTGCTCAAGAGAGCTCCTAACTCGACACCAAACCATTGTCTCTCTATCTGACCACTGATACGCTTTTCCTTCATTCATCTATCGATCAATCCTTTTGATTATCGTGGTTTTAGATTCCCATGGCCACAGGGCAAGCAGTGCAGCCGCCCTGGTCCTTTTCACCTGTAAGCTCCAGGGATTCCTCTGGTAAAGCTTTCACATAAACTCACTTTGACATTGTAAGACCAGTCTTTTGAAATTGCTAAGTGGAAAGCGAGCCCTGCCACACTGTGTTGAAACTAAATTGTACCCACTTAAATGGACCTTAAGTAGTTGTTTCTTTGCGGCCGTCCTCGGTCAACTTTATTGTCTTTCAGAGGCTGAAGAAGGCTCAGTTTAGAGTGAAGTAAAATATTTAACTAGAAAACCTCAGGAATCCGTTGGTATGGGAAAAAACATGCCGTTTGCCTATGGTATTATTATAATTGTGCTATTTTTATCCATTCTAAAAATGTCATATTTCAAAAATAAAAGTCTTGGAATTGCAGAAATTGAGAAACTGAGAAACTGAGACTCTTGTCTATGATGGTAGTCCCCATAATGGACATTTCACTGTATAGTAAGACCATTGTTTTCAAAATCTTGACCTCACTGTATAAAATGGCGTGTCGTGACCTCTTGGATGATCACAGCCTCATGAAACTCTACTATCACAAACCACAGACCTGTGGCTTTCAGAGGATGTGTGGCTCAGATATATTGAAAATAAGGGGGTTTCTCAAGCAATCAACGAAAAATGCAACTCTTGCACAAATCTCCAAATGTCCAAAGTCCTCGATACCAAATCAAAACATGGACTTTTCTTCTAAGGTCTTGGTGTCTTAATGTGGTATTTCAGGGGGGTCAAAAATGTTTAAATCTTGAATCGGCATCCCAGTCCATAACAGAGGCATTGTATAGAGTCTGTTTTGATTCAACATGCATGTCTTTCACAACGCATTTGCAGCACACCCTCGTTCCATGTATTAATATGCGTCACTTTTTTGTCCATCTCCACTGCACTATGATCCAACTCACCACCAGATGGGGATCAAATGACATGTCCTCTCTTCATGTGTGTCCACAACATGCAGCCTCAGTCTGCGTGGGTGCATGAGAGCCCTCTGCTGGTCATCAACTAACAATGCCAAAATAAAGCAAAATTGTGGTTTGGCATGGGCTTTTAGCAGTGGTGGAGGAAGTATTCAGGTATTTTTCTTAAGTAAAAGTAGGCTTCTAATACCACTGTAAAAATATTCTGTTACAGGTAAAAATTGTGAAGAAAAGATTAATATCACTAATATTTGCTGTGCAACTATGTAATTGTATGTCAGTAGGCTATGGCCAGTAATAAGGAGAATGTACTTAATTTAAAATAAAGGTACTCAATGCAGTACTGTAAAAGCAGATTTTTTCTCGTTTTTTCTCGTATTCACAGTTTTTGGTTTGTACAGAGATGACATTGATATGATGTCTGAGTGACATGCCATTTGGCCACTAAGTGGCGCTGTAGCAGCAGCATCGAACTATAAATTAAGGAATCTGTGTGTGTGTGTGTGTGTGTGTGTGTGTGTGTGAGTGTGTGTGTGTGTGTGTGTGTGTGTGTGTGTGAGTGTGTGTGTGAGTGAGTGAGAGAGTGTGTGTATGTGTGTGAGTGTTCTTTGCATATTTCTAGACAGGTGTGGCTCATGCTCATGAGGCTGACAACCCAGATCCTGCAAGACAAAGAAGAACCAGGGTCACCTAATGGAGTGGAGGGATCGTCACAAGATGTATATCTGTATACTTTATGTCTTATTGGATGATGAAGTCATATTATTAAAAAACTAAAGTAAGTTAATGTCCAAGTTTGTAAAAAATAAAATTCACTTCATCCAAGGCTGGTCACACCCCATACCAGTTGGTGGCGGTAATGTGTATATGAGTTGTTTGCCAAGCGCTAATAAAACTGAGAGAAGAAGAAGTAACCCGGCAACATCCGCCAACCTGCTCTCGTACGTACGTTGCGTCGATCAGCCGCGTACTCAAACGGCACATACTGGCATCATGGCGGACGTATTGGATCTTCATGAAGCGGGAGGAGAGGACTTTCCTATGGATGAGGATGGTGATGGTAATACTTATACGTAAAGCCACAGGTAGCAAGGGCCCCACGACTCTGGCGTTCAAACGATGTGTAGATTTGAAGGTCTACATTAAAATGTGCCGTGACTACTGCTACTGCGTGGTAGCAGGCCTGAGAAATGCTAACAAGCTAATATTAAGCTAACAACGCACTAGTGGTTCATTCAAAGCTCTCTAAGTAAGATAGGTAGCTCGTGGTTGTTCCAAGCTATTTAACGTTAGCTCCCTTTTACAAAACAAGTTTATTTTTAATGTATTTCCCTTGATTAAGGGCGTGGTTTACATACTTGAAGCTATAACACACGTAGCGTATTGTTAGCCGCCGTTAGCACGCTAATTCAGTCTGTTCTATAACGTTAGCTAATAGCTAAGTACCGTTAAGATGCACTAATACTATACAGTAGTTAAGATAACACTATGTTTTAGTGTCACTTTTTGGTTACCCCAGCGTTGACCGCAGAAAACCCATCCACAGTTTAGTCCAGTAAAAGTGATAACGTGTGATTGTTGTGAAACTTGCAAACGTAAGTATGTAACGTTAACGTTGGTAGTGTGCATTGGTTTTAATTTATTCAAATGTTCTTCCTTAGAGAGCATCCACAAGTTGAAGGAGAAAGCCAAGAAGAGGAAAGGACGAGGCTTTGGCTCCGGTGAGTTACCAACTGTTTTAGTTTGTTTCATGTGATCTCCTACTGCAGCTTCTTAATACAGTTAAGCTAGTCAGCAGTGCTTCATATTTCTCTGTGTTGCTGTTTCCAGAGGAAGGAGCCAGGTCCAGAATCAAAGAGGACTATGATACTGTGGAGCAGGATGGGGACGAGCCAGGCCCGCAGAGATGTAAGTGTTGCAGTTCGTATTAGAAATCGAATTCAGTTTAAATTCAATGCAAATAGAGTCTAAACTTCACATTAGTCAACCTGAAGTGCATCTGCGATTACCGAGTTGCTACCTTCTCTATTGTTTATACGTGAACCTACTACAGCATATCGCACAACTTATTTTTGAAATCTGTGTTGGCACCCGTTATTGTGTTTTTTAAAACTTCTTTATCTCAATGTATTAAATGTGTGAAAATGAACATCCAGCTAGACTTCTTTTTTTTGATTGTTCTCAAAATAGCTTTTGGGGATAAAGTGCAGCTCTGCGATTGTAATTTAATGTCGACACATAAGAGGCACAAGCCGAAGCTCAGTCGGCTTTATATTGGTTAGAGCTAGCTGTATTTATTTGTACCTTTTGCATGGAATGAGAGTTTTAGTGATCACACCTCTACGTGTCATTAGTTTACCTTGTTAAAAGTGCTGCTTGGTTTATTGTTTGACCCCTGACACCTCTTCTTGTCTTTGTTTTGGTGCAGCTGTGGAGGGCTGGATCCTGTTTGTGACCGGTGTACATGAAGAGGCCACAGAGGAAGACATCCATGACAAGTTTTCAGAGTTTGGAGAAATCAAGAACCTGCATCTCAACCTTGACCGCAGAACGGGTTTCCTCAAGGTGAGACAGATTTCCAAGCAAGATGTGTTCACATTGAGTTGGTGTACACCAGTTACTGTTAATTTTGTACTATTTATTGACACAACCTGTAGGCCGCTTGCTTGCTTTAATAGGTCACTAATGTTATCTTTTACTAGTACAATATAATCGGCTATTTATAGAACACATCAACTTGTTTTTCAAACAATCTGATGGACGGTTCACTTAGATGGTAACCTGTGTGCAGTTCTTAAATGAGCTTCATTAAAATAGAATAAAAATATGATGGCCAACCCGATAGTTAATATATTTTAAGATGGTTTGATTACATTTTGGTGGCTAGCTTTAATACATTTTTTTCTCAAGAGTGCCCTGCAACTGTTTGCGATGGGTCCCGTCTTCTCCTCTTGCGCTGTGCACAGGGAGGAGGATGCGCTCGCTGCAGGAGTTAATAATACACAAACCTTTTACATTCTTGTAAATACTGATTCATAAATAGTTTTGTATAAATATATACATAATAATAGATAAAACATAGTTGATGCTCTATAATGGGTCTACATACACAGTATGAATAATATTTCCCCTGATTCTTCTCTATGCATCAACATACAATTGAGTTTTCCATTAAAGAAAAGTTACACAAAAGTTTGTTTATGCTGCCAATTACAGTTCTTAAAAAGAAAATCTGAATCCTAAAAAATCTAAATTAGAATTGTCCAAGAAAATCGGTCCATCTCTACTAAATGCGTTGTTGTTTTTAATGCAGCAAAATCACTTTCCTAGACTGAAGAACAAGACAGGGGGTCTACTCCTTAGTGTGTTCCAGACAAACTGAAATGCTTCACGCACTCCTAATATTTCTGTGTGGATTTTTAAAAATATTTTGTGGTCAAAGCGGCGTACAAGATTTGAGAAACCAACTGGAGATGAGGAAAAGTAGAGTTGCGGCTTTGATGGCGTGTTTTCCTCTTGTGTGCTCGTTTGGGGGGCATTAGCATTTACACTACAAAAGATACGAGGTCAAATGGTGGTTTGAGTGATGGGATCACAATGCTTCTCTGTTGTCGTTTACACTTGTATTCAGCGCTGTCCACTAGTGATCAGATGGCCGAAGACAGATTTTAAAACAAAGTCTAAACTGGCTGTGACAAAAGCTCCAAATGTCATGTTGACTCAGAGAATGTAACTGCTCTAGATTTCCTGAATCACACCAATTGTTACTAAGATATTAATTTTTTTTCAAATGGAGGGGAATTCAAGCAGTTTATATCCTATTAGATTATGGAATTTCTTTACATTCATAAATGTTTTGTTTTTATATGTCTTCATTTGTTGTGTTTAGAAAACCAGACTCCTACTTTGTAAAGCAGATATTTGTTTATCTATATAAATAAACCATGTTGTCACTGCTTCTTGATAGTGGCGGTTTGTAAACAAATTCCATTTGTCGTATTTTATATAACGAGAAGTCTGATTTTAGCACATGGTAAATCTGGAAATTATACCGATGTGTCAAGAAAGACCAAATTGAAGTGATCAGAAGTCGACATATTTACCCAGTTGTTTTATTGCTGTTCAGCACAGCACTCTTCAACTTTCCTCCACGCCACAAGGTGGCAGCATTGTTTTAAATATGAAATAAGAACGTATATTTGCCCCCGAAACATCCCATTTCAGTGAGTACAGAGAATGTCCATCACAGGCTGTTTGAATATTTAAATGCTTTAGAGACGGAACATGTCTAGTTGGTAGCTGAGCTTTTGTTTCTGCAAGGCCATTCTGATAATCAGCCCGAAGAGTGTAAGACTGAGTGATCAGGAGACCTGTTTTGTCCTGTGTTGTACATTTTAATTGTAAAATGCTTCCAAATTCCCAAGCAGTGATGCCATGAATGTCCAATAACTCCCATGCTGTCCTGATGACTGTTCCCAGGGATATGCATTGGTGGAGTACGAGACCTACAAAGAGGCCCAGGCTGCCATGGAGGGGCTCAATGCTCAGGACATGATGGGTCAGCCTATCAGTGTTGACTGGGGATTTGTCAGAGGGCCCCCCAAGAACAAGAGGAGGTGAGGGGGGGGGGGTGTGTGTGGGTGTGGGTGTGGGTGTGGGTGTGGGTGTGGCGCTACGGAAACAGTAACTTCCCAGTAAAGGGAGTGCTGTCAACATTTTACATGTTGCACTTCTTAACTCTGCATTTTTTTTTTTTTAAATATACTGCTAATTTTAACAAGTTAGAGTATATTGCCCAGCTCATGGTGGTTGCAAAGTTGAAAATGTAGCTTTCTAAGCTGTCTAAATAAGGGATGTGTGATCTAAATTATTTATTTATGTAATATTTTTTTATGGTAGAACACACCACTTAATATAATTATTCAATAACAGCGCTGTGTGTTTTTTCACAGGACTGGCGGACGGAGACGCAGCAGAAGCCCGGACAGGAGGCGGCGTTGAGTACAGCAGTTGTCATTGGCTTGACGGGGTGTCTGTCACTTTTGTCAGGCAGTTCATAATCCTCTCATCTTCTCATAAGAAACATGTTTTTGTACAATATTTTGGACTTGTTTGCCATCTAGTTGTGCGATTTTTAAAATATTGGGATAAAGTGTTTTTGAAAGCTTGAATAACAAGAATCAATCGGCCTAACAGCAGCATTTTCAGTTTATTGTAAATTGCTTATGCTGCTTTAAAATGCAACAGAAGGATATCCATCCAGTGATTTACTTTCAACACCAACATGGTTATGATTCCCTTAAAAATGTTGTTTGTTTTCTCAATGGTGCGTACATTTTGCTTTGTTTTATAATACTTTGGGGGGAAATTAAACTTTTTAAAAGGTACTTGTGTGCACTGTTGTGTTTTTATTTAGCTGTGCTGATGACGTAGAGTTCACGTCATCCTAGATGACCTCACCCATGCAATGGTGCCGCCCCAGCTATTTAATCAACTCCAAAGCACCTGTCACTCTGGGCTGTGAGTGCCACACTCATAGGCTACTTGGACAAAACCCACTTGCCCGTTATTTTTTTCTGCAGCCAATTGGCAAGCGAATGCTTTGCACTCTGTCCCTCTCATTTGGTGTTTACTCTATTGGGGGAACATCAGTCAAAGACCTCGGGGATGCCCATTGGTTCTTAAGAATGTCAATGAAATCGACTCTTCTCTCTGATTGGATGGATCTTCTTGGAGGGGGCGGGTTCAAATTCCTCGGTTGACGTTGTTGTTGTAAGTGGTGTAGAAATTACTTTGTCGGTGGTGTTGGTCCTGTTTGGGATTTTTACGCGTTGTTCCCCTAATGAAGATGCTAAAAAGTTAGGAATTGTTTGTCCTGGAAACGTGTACGGTATTCACAAGTTGGTACTTGCCGGGAAACTAAATGGGACGATGACAAAATCCTCTGCGAGGCCGTTGAAGGTAAGCTTGTAAAGAGATACTCTGGCTACTAGCGTTAGCTACTGTTAGCTGCTGATTAGCCAGGCTTGTAGTAGCCACTTGCTATAGCTAAATGTTACGGTTCAGTCTACGGAGAAATAAATAAATAAACACTCCTTTGCAATGAGAATTCATGCACACGTACGGCAGTTTGATGTAACCGACTAATACGTGAAATTAAAGTTAATAGCTTGAGTGTAAACCGTGCACGAACCCCATGCGTTTGAACGCCTCAAATGCGTTTATGTAAGCATGTGTATTGTTTGATATTTTCTGTCAAAGATCAGTCGTAGCCGTAATGGCAGGCTCTGATTCATCATTTTAGGACGGAAGCATTGATATGCATCTATTATATCTGTACACTGAGCAGGTTGGCGAGCAGAAGTGGTCGCTGAACACGTTAGCTTTTCTTTTTAAGCTGTCAACTTACGTTTATAGCTGCGTGCACGTTCAACATTTTTTTTTTTTTTAAAGTTGTGCTGAATGGGAGATCAGTTCTGTATTCACGCTTTTTATCAGTTTACGTTTTTGCATGAATAATTCACTTAAATTGTCATAGCTAGCTTTCTAATAGCTCACAGTCACGATTCAGATTATCCGAGCTAAGGTGCATGCGTAACGTGACATTTACTTATTAATTTGGGGTGGCGGGGGGGGTTGTGGAGTAAAGTCCTTTTTCACTAACGGGCAATTCCTAACGTGTAACCCAAAAAAGACTCGTGTCATGAAGCTAACGATAAGTGGCTAGCGCGAGATCATTCTCAAAACGCTGCTACCAGATATGTGTGACTAACTGCTGGTTCATTCGGTTCAGTGCTCCGTGCTCGTTTTTTTTTTTTTGTTTTTTTTTAAAAGAAACTAGGACTTAGGTTATAGTGTATTTTCCCACATCCTCGCGATGTGAGAGGGTTAGGGTTACACTTTCCCCTGAATTATTCAGGTCTGTCTGTGTGTGGGCTCTTTTGTTTGGACAGGCGGTCAACAAGAAAAGTAGGACATGGGTACAAGTTCCTCACAGGGACTGTTTATGTTGCTAAAAAAAGCCATAACCTGAGTAGGAAACTCCACATAAAAGGTTGATTTAAAGGAGCTAGGTGTTATGTTGTAGGGAAGACGAAATGCATCCAATCCTCCCACGTGAACTCATTCCTTTCTTATGGCACACACACACACACACAAACAAACTGCCTGTCAGTTGCAAAGAAGACTGTTGATCAGTAGCAGTGATGAAAAGCTGGAGTGAACTCCCAACTCAATGCTAGTAAATATGCAGATAATCAGCCCATGTGTTGCATGCATTATTGTGTAGTTGTACAGGTCCACCATGCACTGTGGCTAGAAGATGAGGTGAAGGTGGCTCTGTCTGCCTTCATTATGCAAGTTCTCAGCACTTCAAGGAACATATTGATGACAGAGAGCACCTCGGGCACGTATTTTAAGTAGGGTTCAGTATCCTTCCTGTTGCAATTCCCATTCCAAACTGACAGGGCGTAAAAGGAAAATTAATAGTGGTAAACACAGCAAAACCACCATTTATCTGCTTTGTAAGTAACGCGATGGAGAAGACGGGAACTGTTTTGTGAATGCTTGAATGGCTTTATCGGTCAGTGCACAAAACCAGCCAGTAGATAAATCTATTCACAACCTGCAGCCAGCGACACATAACAAGGCAGCGTCTTTAAAAGCCCTTTGTTGCACTTTAGTTGTCTTAAAAAAAACAAAAAAAAAAAAAACATCTTGTCGATCCAAATGGAAATATGTGGCTTGCACTTTGCAGCTTATCACACAGAGATCTCCAACACTGTTCAAATAAGCTGCAGTCAGCATTTCACAGTAGCCTGAAAATGACACAGATGAGATGAGTGGTGAGAATGGTCAAATGTTTTCTGTTAATGGGCATATTAATATGTAGTCGATATGGTTATCGACACACCGTTCTGATGTGACTCATAGCAGAGTTACAGGATTGTAGAGCAGTGAGGTTATACACAAACTAGAAAGTAGGTTAAACTTGGTAAACATGTTTCCTCTGGAGTAGTGCTTCTCTCTGTCAGGTTTTGTGTTACTATCTTAACTCTCTCTCGTATCCGTAATATCGTCATGGATCTTGTTAACTGTTAATGTGCTGGACGGCTGTGTGTGTGTGTGTGTGTGTGTGTGTGTGTGTGTGTATATAGTGTTTCACAGGGGGACTGTGCTGCTTCAGCAGCGCAGAGGGCATGAAAATTTAAATTAGTCTCTCGCCGGGCTCCCCCAAACAGCTGCTCACTGTGTGTGTGTGTGTGTGTGTGTGTGTGTGTGTGTGGGGTGGGCGTGCGCCAGAGATCCAGTGTCTGTTTTCAGAGCCGGGCCCATTCGGCCATGGGGGTATTCCCATGGGATCTCTCAAGCACAGTCAGATTAATAAGTAAGTAGACGAGTGCTTCTTCAGGTTAGTGGGACAAACGCATGACGTTTGTGTCAAGTGAACATGTTCCACTGAGTTTTGCAGCGGTGCACGCTCTCAGCCTAGAGCAGGCAACAAATCTCAGCCCCGATCCTTCTTTTAGGACACTGAAATGCTTACATTATTGACAAGATGAAGAACGGTTGATAGGAGGAACAGTGATACGAAAGGGAAAACTGCCTCCGTCCCCACCGTGCCACAGGGATCAATAGGTGGCTTGTCTCCTAGAGGCCTCTGTGTGCAGACAGCAACTCATAAAACTCTTTGGAGCCCAACCCATGGCTGGTTGCCTGCCAGTCTTGTGACACAGCAGCCAGCCCGGGCCCAGGGCTGCTTCTGTCAGGGTGGAGAGACCCAGAACTGAAGGCCTCTACCTGTGGTGCCTGCAGCTGCTCCACTTTGATCAACATGTCGTGGATAGTACGCCCACACTGAATGCTTCGGGATTACATGTAGGCTGGATCATTCAGTCGTTATCATCGTAGAAGTGACCGTATAGGGTGGAGCGGTTATACGAGGAAAGATGTGGCCTTATGGTACCAGCTGAGCAGCCATAATCACAAATAGCGTGAGACAGCACTCCCACAAGAGATGCTGTGGTAACAAGAGCTCGCTGTATCAGTTACTCTCTACTCCCTCTTCATCTCTTCCTCCTCTACATGCAGTGCAGGCTGATGTTGATGATTAGACTCGCCACCTGACAAAACCTCACTATTTTATCTGTCCGGTGGGAAATTTAGGCACACACATACAGCTGTTTGAATACATCAATATTTCATTTTAAAAAGGGCTTACAGTTTTAACGTGAATGACATACCATAGCAAACGGGGCTGCAAACGGTTTAGCATTTCACGTTGCATGCCAGCACGCAGTATTTTTCATTGTCTGTTGTGTGTGTCACATCCCTGCTTGTGACTGCTGCTGCCTATCTGTCAGTTTGTGACAAGTTGCTTTATTTATTTAATTTGTGTGTCAATGTGCTGTCTGCAAAACCTCTCTTATAGCTGACAAATGAATTGAAGCCTACTTAATATGACCCAGGTTTGTTATAAAGTTAATGAAGTAGGGGGGCTTTAGAAAACAACTGATTTGAAAACCAACCGAGGCTCCACAGGAAGGTTAGATTGGCTTTTTAAGTGTCTGCTGATGAAGTCACCAGCCATTGCCACAAAGTATGTCAACACTTGTTTACTGGGTAATGTTTGTTTCAGAGCATTAGGCTCATAGCAGGTGAATTGTGAGATTTGTAGCTTCCTGTGCAGACTGGAAGCAATCATCCCCGCCCGCCCGCCTGCTCGCCCTGTTGATCCAGGACAGCGGGAGTAATCCCACACACGGCCCTGATGAGGTGCCTGTCACCCACGATGACATCACGCGGGGCGTGACGTGAGGTGGCCCTGCTGCGTACTGGGCCCGGCCTGCAGCACGTGGGGATTCACATGAGCATTAGTGCTGCCCGCCTGCAGAGGCTGGTGCCTGTTTAGCCACTGGCTTAAGACCGAGCTGGGTTTGGTTGGCTTCACATTCAGGCTGACTTAGCAGGGGGAGATCGTGAACATTTGAATCAGTATGGAGATGCGAGCCGTGGCTCCATTTTGTGTCTTAATATTAAGGCTTTTTGTCCACGCTACTGGCTCTCTTACAGGCGCCTTATTATATTTTTGCAGGAGTGGAATACATTTTAAGTTCATTCTAAAGCAGCACAGCCCAAGGTTCTTAGGTTAGTGCCTCGGAAATGTCTCATACTCCTCGAGGGTTAATATGCAAATCTGGCTTCTAAATGTTAATTGGTAATAATAAGCTCATTGTTTGTACACTAAGCAAAAAGGATATTTCGGCATCATTGACAACCCGGAGACATTTGTTGCCCGTGTATAGTTTGATTTATGAATATACCTAAGAACATTGTGAGAGGTCATTTCTCCACGATAGATCCTTTGTGTCTTTCTGTTGTATAAAGCTGGCCTGCCCAACATCGACAAACTACCAGGATTCATTTCTTTTGTTGTGTGTTTGTGATATCTATTGCTTACCTTGCACAGCAGCTGTGCAAGGTAAGCAATAGATATCACAGGCAAATCCATCTTACGGACCAATGAGCGCTCTGAGAGGAGCCACTGGCAGCTGTGGACGGGGTATAGGTGTGTTACGACAACAATGGCGGGTCCTGAAGAGGTTGGCACAGATGCTGCGATAGCGTCAGTTATATCAGAACTGGAAAGTATTACTTCATTGAAATAAGAGCAGAAAACAACTTTTTTCTCAATTTCAAAGATGTTTTTTATTTTTTGCTCTCCTCCCGACTGGCTCTTCAAGAGTTTGATTGACAGATGGTTCATCCAATCCCCTGCGAAGTGTATATTTTTTTGAAAGTGCCTGCCCTTTCCCAAACTGTTTCCAATGACTCCTTCTCAGATGGTTCTGTGGAACGAACCATCTGGCGTCTCAGGTTGATAAATTGCATCGCTACATGTTTGAATTCGTAGGTTAAGGATAAGATACGGATGCTTGTCCTTGGAGAAAAGTTTTCCAAATCTAAACTGAAGACTTTTGGTTGTAGAACCTGCAGTTGTTTTCCCTTCACCATTAATTAATCATGTATAGATGGTTTTAACTTGAGTACCTGGCTTCAAGGCGACGCTATACATTCTGATATGCACGGCCCTAGTGGGAGTCCTTTTAGTATCAGCACTATTAACACATCTTGATTAGTTTAGTCATCTTAGTTATCACTGCAGAGTCACATTACGTACTTGTTATTTCAAGGTTGAATTCCCTCACCCTTTGTTAATAAGTAGGTGGGCAGCGCTCGGATGGATGCAGAGGCTTGTGTTTCTTCACAAAGGCTAGAAATCGATAAAGAGGCCGCCGGGGCTGAACGAGGACTTCTCACCCACGGAGTCTGGAGTGTTAGCTTGGCAGCCTTCTCGAATGCTGAAACCAACACATAATGTTCACTGAGCGCCGCAGTTTATCCGTCTACCTTCAGAGGCAGAGCAGCCCTCTACACAGGACGCTCTTTGCAGCAGTCACGCTGAACTTATCTTGTTCTGAGTTTTCTTTTTGTCCACACCTCTACAACAGGAATGCATTGATAGCAGATTAGCTTCCACTTCCCTCACTCATTTAGACGATCAAATGCTCTCGCTACATTTTCTGCTGTTTCATGTGTCGGCCGCACCGACACTGTGTGTAATGTTGTCTCTGTGTGGAATGTGGGAATGCCACTCATAGTCCCCTATAGCCCTCTCCACAGCAGCCTCCCTCATGCGGCTGTTAATTAGTGCTCCTTGAGTGGTGGTTACTGGGCCTGACTGCAGTGACGTGCCCCGGGCACAGACCAGCAACGTCTGAGGCCGGCTTTAATAGACTTCCTAATAAACCGTCACAACAGACGGACAGAAAGGAAGGGGAAATAAAGCTGGGGCTTACAGCAGGATATGGAACAAATTCTAATCACAATGACTGTCACGATATTTGCTCTGCATATTCAAAATTACACTACCACGTTAAACTCCAGTCCGACCACTACTCGTGGCGTTTTTCAAGAACTACAACTCGTGTAGGCTGTTTTTTATTTAAAAGACTGAATACAAGACAGATTTGGAGAAAACCTTTAAATGTTGTCAGTCATTTAGTTTTTAAATTGTGTAAACTGAGATGTCTTTGTGGAAATTATAAAGAGAGTACATATTGTGATATTGTAATATTAAATCTATCTTAATCCTGACTATTGACCATAAATCACAAGCTGCTCTCCAATGAGACACTTCCTGTTCCGTGTGTTTATTTGTTAACCACAAAGTTGCTTCTACTCTATCCATATGGGGAAGTAGACCTCTGACAGTTTGATAAAGTTTTGTCCATGAATTGAATTCCGAACAGGTTTGTTTTCTCCATTAAAATTAGAGTCTGTCCTCCGAGACTTTGGCATGCTGTGCAGCATTGCAGCGGACTT